TGTCTTTGTAATGACTGTTTGCACTCTTCCTGGATGATACATTTGACATCTTCCCACAACTCATTATTAGGTCTTCACTCATTAGTGTTCAAGGCCTCAAACCTGTTCCTGACATGGTTCTGAAATTCAGGTGGAATTAACTCAAAGTCATATTTTGGTTCCCGTGAATTTGGTTTAATTTTCCTCAACTTTAGCTTGAATTTGCATATGATTAGTTGGTGGTATGTTCCTCAATCAGCTCATGGCTTAGTTTTCACAGCTGATATTGAGCTTCTCCAGCGGTTCTTTCCGCATATGTAATCAGTCAGATTCCTGTGCATACCATCTGGTGAAATCCATGTGTATAATCTGCATTTATGTTTCTTAAAAAACGTATTTGCAACGAATAAGTCATTGATTGTACAAAATCCAATCATTCTATCTCCAGCTTCATTTCTGTCACCGAGTCCATGTTTTACAACTACTGAATCTTCTTCTCTGTTCCCAACTTTTGCATTCCAGTCACTCATTATTATCAGTGCACCTTGATTGCATGTTCGATCAATCTCCGAGTATAAAACTTGGTAGAAATCATCTATTAATTAGCATTGCATATTTATATATTTATTTTAAATGATCTTTTACTATTTTCTCCTGTTGACTGATTTGCGAGAATCCAGTTAGGTTATCATTGTCACCTGACATGTTGCTAGGAATAGGAGAAATGCCATCTGCAATTTTGTTATTGGCTTTTGCTTCTGTTATTGGTATTTAGTCAGAGGGAATCCTGTTCATTATTGGTTTAATTTAAAAAACCTTCATTTGTATATCCATTTTATTGGACACATATAAATGAGTCCTGTGGCACAGTGGTTAGAGTACTAGGCTGCTAATCAGATTATGTTGCAGTCTGCTCTTATGAAGCTTTATAACCTTAGCACCCTTAGGAAGCAATTCTGCCCTGTCTCACAGGGTTTCTCTGAGCTGGCAGTGACTTAACAGCAGTGAATTTCAGTTTTGGAGCACATATAAACTGCTTCTGTGTGTTTTTAGAGGATGTTGTTGATGCAGTAGTAAAGTTATTGTCTGGTAACCAGAAGTTCTACAATGTCCAACCACAATCGAATGGATTGAGTAATTATGGTACATTCACGTGATGAAATACTGTGCAGCACACAGCAGCAATGATTTTGTAAATTAACTACCTAACTTGGGAGGGCCTGTAGAGCATTAGGCCAAGTGAACTAACTCGGTCTCAAAAAGACAAATACTGTATTAAGACCATTATTATAGAATGAGTATGAGGATCCAAGGCGGGGAGGGGAGGAACAGAGAGATGAGGGTGGTGGGGAGGGGGGAGTCTTAATCATAGGGTTGCACAGTTTGATGGGTGGAGGAGGGGTGGATATGGACTTTGCATATTGAATATTAGCAAAGCTTAATTTCTCTATTTTGGAGGCTATAATTTAGAGCATTGTTACTCAGAGAAGGGTTTTAGGACTACTTTCATGAGACTTATTGAGGGTACTGGTTAAAATGAGATTTCGAACTCTGTTCCACAGTCTAGCTTAAGTTGAGGTGCATAGGCTAATAGGATTTGGTGGCACTTTGTGTTTTGGTGCATGTATGATAAAAAGGAGAGAGAATCCTGGGAATTCTTGCTGTAGAAAATACCTTTTTTTTCTTTAAAAAAAAAAAAAAGATATTTGAGCATGTTTACATCCAGAAGCAAAATGTTTTCCTTTTAATCGTCATTTCATTGATTTGATAATTATTTGAGGCTTTTTATCTCAAATTTTGTTTTATCATTTTTTTAATAGGTAGAAATGGAAAGTGGAGCACATGATTATTACAATGTTCTTCCCAATAAAAGCCTACGGAAAGCTTATATGGAAAATGGGGAAAAGCTGGGAATAGAATTCATTTCAGAAGATACAATGCTGAATATGCCATCAGGTAACAAGGTTCTTTCTTTATATATTGAGCTATTTGAAGTATAGAAACACCATCTTTGGTTGATGGTTTAAATGACTGAAATACCTGATGATATGAGGGCTAAAATGCTGATAGTTATCCAGTGCTTTCCACATATGTAATGAACAACAATGGTCAAAGGCAAGAAACTTAACAAAATTTCCCTGAGTGAATGGCATATGAGCTAAATTGTTTCACAAGTAACTAGCCTACTTTTTGCTCTATATTTTAAGTATTTCTACTGTTTAAGTTTGCTTAGTTTTAATTTTTATGTGAGTCATCAAAAATGAAAACAAATTTTAGTTTTTTCTCAGTCTACACACTAAAGTAACTACTGAGTTATGCAAACCATTTTAACAGTTGAAAGACAACTGTTGTAATTGAAATAATCCTAAATGTACTTTTAGAATTATTTAAAATTCTTTCTCTTTAAAGAATTTGGAGCTCTGGTAGCCTAGTCCCTAGGAGTTGTGCTCCCAGAGGCCTTCCAGCTCTTCCCCTGCTACTCAGGAGAAAAAAGGGTCAAACTGCTCAAACATAGCAACTTGTTTTGTGGATGGTGGAGGACCAGCCATTCATTGTTTTGTTGTGCTGTGCCTATAATTGCTGTGAATTAGAATTGACATGACTTATAAAGTGGCTATACGAATTGATTCTTCAAATTGTGGTGCTGGAGAAGAGTCTTGAACATTCCATGGACCGCCAAGAAAACAAATAGATCTATCTTGGAGAAGGCAAAACTGATTTTCTCCTTGGAGACTAGGATTCTGAAGTTCCAAGTTCCATCTCACATACTTTGGGCCTGTGACCAGGAGGAACCAATCCTTGGAAAAGGACATCATGCTCAGAAGGATGGAGGGACAGTGCAAGAGAGAAAGATCCTGGATGAAATGCATTGATAGAGTAACGAGGGCACTGAGTGTGTCTGAGTCAATGAGACTGGCCGAGAGGGCAGGCTTCAGAGCTGTTGTACATAGGGTCATGATGAGTTGAAGGCAACAGCAGCAGTATACTTTGGATATAATTGTCAATATAAGATTCTAACTCTACCAGTAAGATCTTTAAATATGCAACAAGCTACTACTGTATTCCTGCATTCTTGGAGCCAATTCTCTCATGGTGAAGTGCTTCGTGAACTGTCTCTTTAAGTAGTACATTTTCACAGAAGCCACATTTCCTGGGTTCAGAGTCTGTCTTCAGCCTGGCTTTATTATAAACTAGTCATTTTGAGACTATGAGCATAAGTTGTTTAATATCTGTAAGCATTAGTTTTTCCATGTTACTATGAAATGGACATTGTTCGAAATATTAATGTGAAAACTTGTGAAGCATTTGACATTTGACAGTGGTAATTTTAAATACATTGTAAGCTGCTGTTTCATATTTTGCCTTTTTCACTTTTAGCACCCATATTTGTGGTCTAGTATTGCTGGCACAGTGTGTAGCAGATAGTAGGCATTCAAGAAATACTTATTGAGTAAGCATTATTTGTACTCTTAGGTACTCAATAAACATTTGCCAGTCATTTGATACTTGAAAATACTGTTTAAGTCATCTGTTTAGGGAAACAGACGTGAGCCGCATAATCCAGTAAATAGAAAAATCTGAAAAATGGTGTGAATGAGTGTAATACAGTTCTGTTAGACTTATGCTAGAAGAATTTGACCTTACAAGAAGGTGAAATAAGAATTTGTTAAGGAAACTTAAAATGGATCTAAATAAGAGTAGGAGGTAAGTAGGTGAAGAGGGGAGAAAGGACATGTGCAAAGGTCTTGGTTCGAGAGCAAGCTTAACAAGTGTTCAGAGTTGACTGGAGTAGAGAAAGTAAGCAATGACATCATAAGAGAGCATGTTGGAAAGATGATTGGAGTCATACCACTTCAGACCTGTAGATCCTGTGAAAATTGTAAAAATATTTGGTGTAGAACAGTTATTAGGAGTTCAGGTGAGAGATGATGATGGCTCAAACTAATTGGGGCCAAGTGTTGGTGATGAGAAAGTACAGGATTCTGAGATAATTTGGAAAATATTGACAACAGTCCCTAGATGTTGCCAATGATTACTGTCATCAGCTGCTCAGGTAAAGGTTAGAAGATCTAGTCCACATGGTGGCTCTCAGAAGAAAGGTCTGCTGGAAATCAAACATTAGGAACTCTAGGAGCACAGTTCTTTGTGATACACACAGTATGGCTGGGAGTCAGAATCAGCTGGATGGCACCTGGTTTGAGTTCATTGTTGAAAGGACAGTGGGTTAGGTTAGAGGGGGAAAAAATCGGGTCTAGTTGGAGAGTAAGACCATGGAATTCGGTTTGGCTTATATTAAGTGTGATACTCTTTGAAGACATCCAAGAGCAGATGTCACACTTGCACTTGAATATACAAACATGGAGCTTAGAAAAGACTGAGAATATATTTGAGATAATAGAATCTGAAGTAATCAATAGGAACAAAAAAAATCTAGAGAGGGGAATGTGGAGAGAGAAGAGGAAAGGACCTGAAATGGAATATTGAGAATTTAATATTTCATGGACAGAGAAGGCTCTACCTTAAAGAGACAAAAAAATGCAGAAGCAAGCAAGTGCTGTATTAAAAGGAAGCGTTAGCCTAGAGTATGGAGTGCTGCTGAGAGATGGTAAGGTAGAGGCTAAACTTAACCATGAGATTTGGCAAGGACAAGTGTTTGACTTTTTTAAGGGCTGCTGTAATGACTAATGGATGTGAGGAAGATTAAATAGATTGAGGTCTCGTTGGATGGTAAAGCAGGAGCATGTGAACAGCTTTCCGACAGGCTTACTTCTAGAGATCTCGTCTACCAAGGTATATAACTAGAACCAAAGGTACCACTTGGTTATAATTTTACAGTTCAGAAATATTGATCAGATATACTTTTCTTACTTTATGTGTTCTAAGGATCTACAGATTTTGGAAATGTTACTTTTGTGGTTCCTGGAATTCATCCATATTTTTACATTGGCTCTGATGCCCTCAATCATACTGAAAGATATACTGAAGCGGCAGGTAAGGAAATGCTGTCGCATGGGCCCTCTCTTTGTCCAATAGCAAATAGAAGTTGCCTTTCTAACTGCTTACTTTAATCTATTCTTATTACCTGACATCACTTCAGAAAATACTATATTGTGGTTAGAATTTGAAGACACATATTGGGGAGAAATGTACAGCAATGAATAAATAAAATTAAAAAATAAAATAACATGCTCCGACAAATATATATATAAAACAAACCCAAACCCAAATTAGATATTGAAAACTAACCTAGGAAATGAACTAATTTATTTGTATAAATGTGGAGGTGTTTTAATTTCTTTTTCTTTACCTTTCAGGAGCCCAGGAAGCTCAGTTCTACACTTTACGCACAACCAAAGCTTTAGCCATGACCGCACTAGATGTAATCTTTAAACCAGAATTGCTAGAGAATGTAAAAGAGGACTTCAGATTGCAACTTCAAGAAGAGGAATTTCGAGATATAAAGAATTAAAGAAAGATTTAGGAGCCACTTACAAATTACTGAGAGATGCTGATTTCTTTCCCTTAAGCATTTTTAATGAAGGGAGCATTTGATGGTTTAATCAGAAAAGAGTCAAATTCTTACCTAAAAAGTGACAAAAATTTTGGCAAATCTGTAGTTGATGGAATTCTGATCTAATTGTTAACAGAAACTAATATGGAGTAGAATTTCTTAAACACTGTCAGTGTTACCTGGGTTATCAATGATAATATTTTACAAATTTATGTGCTGTGTAGGGGTATTTAAAAAGATTATAAGAGATATAAAACCTTATCTTTAGAATATATGTGAGTGAAAGATTTTGGTGTTTCAGAAAAAACATTTTATATTGAAGTTTTAAATTCAGGCAAAATTCCTTCTGAATACCTGACTATACATTTTGATGTAGAATCTCTTCACTTATAATAAACGTAGACTTTTAACCAGATATGCTTGCAGAAAACAACTCAAAACTCAAAACATCTCTTTAGTCCTATCATTTAAAGGAAGCAGCGTGGTGTTGAAGTGCTCTTCCTAACTCAATATTACTATAGTGGAAATAACATAAGATTGGGCTCTTCCTATAACAATTTGCTTATAGTCCAGTGTGTTCTAGAAGCATTTGATGAAAGAAATAATGGTTATTCACCAAGCCCTGCTTATCTTGAATGTTTAATGTCTTAAAACTGGTCTCCACCTAACAGCACTGTTAAGGTTACTACTCAGCCTTTGCAAATGAGGCAAGACTAGGCAGTGTTTTTCTGTTGTTGCACATAGGATCAGTGTGAGTGGTACCTGACTCAAGAGCAGCCACTCAAAGTCATCCTTGGAGCCTTGACCGTATTGAAGTTTTCTACAATAAATAGTTCTATGCTTCTTTAAAGCCCAGTATGAATTAAAAATTACTGTATGTTTTCATGATTATTATATTAGTGTGAATTACTTGAACATGATTAAAAAAAGATGGGGAAACATCTGGTAAGACAAATATTTTAGAGTATAGAAATGTTTCAGTATACATTAATCTTAGAAATTGAGTATTTAGCCTCTTTGCTGTAAATCCCTTTGGAAATAAAGGATCTTTTATCCCTGCAGTCATTTGAACCACTAGGTCCCAGTTTACCTGAACTAATTTAAAGCTGTAAGGGAGAAATGGTTTAGGGAAGGTTGAGAATTGCTTTTCTTTGGTATCAGGGGTCAGTAAAGTATGATCTCATTTGACCTGCACAGCATGTTTTTATACTTTGCAAGTGAGCTAAGAATGGTTTTTACATTTTTTGAAGGAGGCAGATAAAAGAAACTGTAATCTGCAAAACTGAAATATTCTGTCTGACTATAGGGAAAAAATTGCCATCCTTGTTCTATATAACAGTAAAATAAAAACTATCTGTTGTTGGGTTTTGCATCGTATAATCAGAGCTTCAGGTATAAACCTAAGGCTCAGAATTCAGTCTCTAAGTATAGATTTAGATAGCAGTGTTGACACTTCGTTCTCATTGGAGTTCTGGCACGTAGACATGTAGTTTTCCTGTAGCATTTCAGGCAATGCTGTATGAACCAAATGTGTTGTGGGTGGGGCTGCTTTATTTTTTTAAATTTAATTTTATTTTCATGTCTTATAAGTTTTCACTTTGGAAAAGGTGCAGTCTTTTTTTTTTTGCTTCTTAACATTTTATTTTTTGTAATCATATTGGTTTTCATACAATAATTTACATTGTGTTTAATTCATATACATCTTGTTTCATACAATCTTTCATTTACATTGGGTTTCATACATTCATGTAGATTGTATTCCATGTAATGAATTAACATTGAGCTATGCCTCTTATACTGTCTTTTCATGTCCCCATTGATTCTTTACTATTCCTCGCCCCAGCCCAATCCACCCACTAGTTTCTGCTAATCTTAGTGATTTCCCACCCTTCTCCTTTTTCTGTTTCTTTCCCTTTTTGAACATTTGTACACATTTTACTAGTTATCCTCTTATTTTTACGATAATGTTCATATGTAGTATTTGTCATCATGAGACTGAGCTAGTTCATTCAGCATGTGCTCTCCGGACTCTCCCATACTGCATAGTATTCCATTGTATGAATGTACCACAATTTCCCAAGCCATTCATTTGGTTATGGGCATTGGTGATGTTTCTATATTCTTGTTATGTTAATTACCCTATGAACATTGTTGTTGTGTTCCATCGAGGATGGAACTGACCCATAGCTGACCCTCCAGCGTGTTTCAGAGGCAGTTCATTGCACAGGATGAGATTTCCCATTCTTCTGCAGAGCAGCTAGTGGCCTCGAACTGCGAGCCTTCAGGATTGCAGCGCAGCTTCTTGCCACAAGGAATACATATCTCTGTGTCTCAATTCTAATTTCCTTGGAGTATATTCCTGGCCGTGCAATCTGGGTCATATGGAATGTCTGTGTTCAGCTTTTTAAGGAAACACTATACTGTGTTCTGGAATGGTTGTATCATTTTTTTCCAATCTCCCCACATCCTCTTCAACATTGTTCTATTAAACATCACTACTGCTACTAGAGTGAGATGGTATGTTATTGTTGTTTTTACTTACATCTCTGTGTTTTATATAAAAGATATATGTAATTAATAATTTATTGATTGTATAAAATTCTA